GCTTTCCGGTTGAAGTCTCTCCCCTCCCCCAAAAAAATTGTAAAATATAACCATGTCCACAGGTGAATCTACGGAAGAGGGCAGGCTTTCGGACTGTTAAAAATCAAAATAGCAGAGGAAAATTAAATATGAAATTATGCTAATAAGTCATAAAAAGATAATAGGTTCTTATTTTCTTCTGTATAAAAACTTAATTTTCAAATACGATCTTTTATGCTAAAAGTATATATGGAGAATATGAAGTATATATGAACGCGATATGGAGAATAAATTAGATGCACCCTACCGACTTTTTTCCTTCCCTTATCCCCACATCCCAAAAAAACTTTTCCGGTTCATTAAGCGGAAAACAGATGCATACTTTTAGCACCTGTCATGGTACAAACTAGCACGATTCTTTAACGGTTTATTAAATCGATCTTTTGTTCCTTTTTGTTATCGATTATGGAAACATAAAATCGTGTCAAAACAATTCATGAATCTTTGTACCTATCTTAAATTTTGAAGTAAAGATGATTTAAGTGATTTTAAGCATATAAATAAGGAGATCCAAAATGTTTCGATGACTAAAGTTCTTTCATGTCATTTTTTTTTATTATCATCATAAAGATTTGCTTTCCATTCCCATTCTTCAAAAATATTACAGGCTGCCATTGCTTAAACTTAATTTCATGATATTTTTTTTAATAATAAGAATAAATTAATTTGGAAAAAAAACATGGCGAATTCTTTAAATAAAGAATTTGAATTTAATATTTTTTAAAAGTTATGTCATTGGTTCATTGCAAAAATCAATAAGTACATTTTTGATGGAGCTGAACTTATAAGAAAGTTTTTGTGAATTCCGACATTATTTATTGATAAAAAAAAACACAGTAAGTATACTAAAATGACAGAACCTCTTTCAGATATCAGCCATAGTTACAACAAGAACTCAATTTTCTGATTTTACAAAGATAAAAATCATTGAAATTTAAGGTTATGACATGTCATTTAATGACTTTTGCAATAAACTGACGTTATAACCAAAGAAAAAAACAGATGATTTTGACTCCGTTTCATAACTAAAATACATAAAGCAAAAAAAGGAAAAAAAAAAAAAAGAAACAATGAAAAACATGGCCTAAGGTAGAATTCGTTAACCAGAGATTCCAGCTCAAGATGCAAGAGAGCACTATACATACATGTTTCAGAAGAAATAATATTAAAATGGACTAAAAGATTCTCAAGGTACGTTACTGTTTGATAATTTAAAAATATTTATTCCTAAGGGGAGCCCCCTAATTCCTAGACAGGGATAGATAAGCGTATGACATGTGAAAAGTGACAAATGTACTAAATATGATTTGGCTTGAAGAACGATTTAATTTCGAAAAAAAAATCAAATTCAAAAAATGCATTTGTCAAATACACTAAACCTTACAGCAACAAACAATTCTGAATGGTTATAAATTAAATTTGGTCGTTGTTATCTTCATTCTCAGAGAGTGAAAAGAAAAAAAAAAATTGTGAAATCAGGTAAAATATGTTGAGTCAGTTCTCATGTGTTGAGTCTCATGTACTGAAAATTTAAATACAATATATTTCAGAAATTGCATACAATATATTTTAATCAGTGAAGCTTTACTGCATTGAAAGAATGATTCATCCAGGGAACAGGAAGGTGGTTTTAAATTCTGTTTATGGTATTAACCTCCAACTTCCTCATATAAGACTTAACAGGAAAAGCGATGTATTTTTAGCCGAAATCGATTATAGTGCTAGTATCGATATGTTGCTTGGGATCAGTCGCCTTTGTTGCTCTGGAAGGTTAAATCTGTCATCTTAAGTTACACAACCTTATACCACAATCAGTTAGTTTTTGGCTGGAATACCATTTATGTCAACTATTTATAAAAGTGTTAAGGGACTCCCAAAAGTTACAGTTTCTTTTCCTATTTCTTTCTCATATATTCATAAAAGAACCAATTTGCTGAGTCTTTGTTAAGACTTTTTAATCTGTGAATTATTACTTCCTGAAGTTGTCAATGAACATATAATTTGTCTTTAAAGCTCAAGATTATTGTTCCTATCAGTGTATTTCAAAATGGATTATTATTGAGGTAAATAATCATAATTATTATTTATTTTCATTTTTATTTTCTTTATATTACTTATATACTCATCCAAATATTATTTTTTTGTTTAGTTGATATTTTAAAATAAATATTGTGGATTCTTTTTAGAAAATTATAAATCTCTCTGTGCATCATTCAGTGTTTTTTTCTTCTTTTTTTGGAATAAATATGATGAGATTGAGTGCTGTCATTGATTAGGGCTTGTTTATAAATACACCTAAATGATTTCACCATAAATTTTAAACATAAATTATTTATATAAACACATTGTATTCCATAATTTTATCTTGCACTTTTTTTTATCAGGCTTAGTTCAAAGATTACCTAAATTTTCATTAAATTAATCCCTATATTTTATACTTTGTGGCATACATTTTAAATCAAATTATTTTAAATGAATGAAGTCAAAACAAGAATGATAATTCATATATGTGCAAGTTAATTATTTTTATACTTAAATTAAAAAAATTAAATTATTTTTTATTTTGTTGTAAATATTTTAAAATCTTATATAGTAAATGGAAGAAACTTTTACAATATTGTTTATAAAGTCAGTTGCACCGTCAAATGTAATAATCATTTGTTTTAAATGAAAATGTCCTTAACATTAATTTATTTTTATTAAAAACTTCCAAACGGTTATCATAGTTATATATGCATTTAAATCTTTTTAAAATAGCTCAGAAAATAATTTTATATTTATTTTCAAAGAGGCTTTCTGAAGAAACTTGATTGGATTTTGATACATAGTTGTCAATGGCAAATGGAAGAGATCAAACATTAGAAGACGAATTCTCTCAGTCATTTTGGTAAATATTTTTTTATTTATTATTGTTTTAGATTTTGTTTCTTATAATAATTCTTCTGTCCTAATATTTATGATTTCTTATTCTCCAGTTAAAATTTAAATCTTGAAGTATTACTGAGTTTGTGGCTTTCATCAATATTTTATTCATAATTTAAAATAGATTGTTGTGCAGGCATTTTTTAAAAATTGACATAAAATTAATTTAATTTATTTACCACCATTTTGCTTACATAAATAGTGTTTCTATATTCAAAACTAGGGCAAACTTCTTTTGGCTCCTTCTAACTATCTCTAGCTATGCAATTGGGTATTGATAATTTCTTTGATTGATGGTTATTTATTATATGCTTTGACAAAATGTAATTTATCTTAGTTTTAAATAGATCACTTTGATACATAATTAATTACTTTTTGGTATAATAAGCTGAATGAAGCTTAGTTTTGTCTATTCTTAGTCTTGCTGAACTTGTAAGACTGGTATGTATTCTCAACTTATCAATAAATTCATTTCTGGTCATTTTGACTATGACTTCATTGTGGGATTCCTTGTTATCTGTAATATGCCAACTTTTTTTCTTGTGTAATATTCTTTGTCTTGTATACATAATTCTTCAATTATGAAACTTACTGCTTAAATTATACTTCATGTAATAGTAATTTATATATTTTATTATACCACGTTTTGTTTTAATTTGTGTGAAATCACATAATTAGTTTGTTATAAATTTTGTTTTATTTTAATGATTTTTCGAATGCTTTTATTGAAAGAGTTTGAATTCTTAGCTATGATATTAAATCTATTTATCTTAGAATCTCCATTGTCTGTGTTAGGGAATATGTACAGATCATAATGACTTTAATTGTTTTATTAATTATTTGCCTTTGGTCACTGCCATTTACTATGTATATCTTTGAACTTCTATTATCTAAATATATTTCCACCAAATCTATTCATAACTATCATATTTATATAGCCATGATCGATGCATTGTGTCTTCTGGCAGATCATTCCTTATCCAATCTTACTTCCTCTGAATGTAAATTCCTTTCTTTCTCAGGCATTATTGTTCTTAATTCAGCTCAACAACTGCAAGCGGGTCTTAGCTTCCTCCAACAGCAATCGCCATACATTTCTATTTCGTGCTGCTGTCATTCAATTTCGAACTCCAATGGACCTTAAGTCACCTGCGACACAGTCCGATCACCGTAGTCTGGGTTTTCCAACTCTGCGCCTGCTAAACTGCTGCTCCATTAATATTTTCTTCGGAATTGATTGCTCTGACATCTGTGCGAGGTGTCTCACTCACCTTAATCTTCCTGCCTTGATAATCTCGACTACATCAGGCTCGTTATAGAAGATATATATTTCTTTATTTAAAAATCCTATTTATTTAAAATAAATTCGGCGAAGGATTTTCTTCTCAGAAGCAAGCAGGTCCCGTTCATCTGCCATTAAGGTAGTCCAGGTCTCAGAACCATAAGTCAAATAGGGCGGATGAGGGTTTGGTAGAGGATAACCTTGATCCGTTATGAGACAAGTCTGCTCGATAGGTCGGAGGGGAGTCCATAATAACAGGGATTCGCTGAGATCACTCTTCTCTGTGTCTCTACTGAGATTCTATTGTCGCTCGTCACTTGTGCACCAAGATATGTGAATGCCGACACTTGTTCAAACATGCAGAGACCAAATGCAACTTCTATACCGATCCGTTGGGGGCGGCTGATCAGACACCATATACTTTTTGTTTTGTCTTGTTTGACAATTAGGCCGAGACGTCTTGCCGCAATCAGGCATTAATGTACTCTTCCCAATCTTAAGTTTGGCCTCTTAAACTTCCTTTTGCTCAAATTTCTTTAAATGAATAATGCATTATGAAACATCAGTGGTTCTAGGAAAAAGTGTTGAATACAATTATAAATAATTGATAATTAATTCTTTCTTTAAGGCCTAAAGCCTTTAGTTGTTAATTTTATCATTATTTTTTAGGGAAATGTATTATAAGTTAAATAAAGAATTTATTTATTTTTATTAAAGGTTTCTAGTTCCATTGTTTTCATTTTCCTCTTGTTTTTTCAGTGAACCATGGAAGCAAGTAAGACAAACGAAGGAAATTCCAGCCTTCAGAACAGCCTTGAACAACAAAGTGATGTTCCTATCGTAAGTGAGGAAGAAAGATATGCACTGTTGCAAAAGCTTAATCTAGCTCACGAGATAGGCCTTGATCAGAGTTTTTCTCTAAAAAAAGAAGAACCCCCTGACAATAGCTTAGAAAAAGTAGTGACTGAAGTTGTTCACTCTGCGTTTTGGGATCTCTTCAAACAGCAAATATCCGAAGATCCTCCTAATCTTACTATGGCTCTTAGCTTGCTGAACGAAATAAAAGAAGGCCTGTATGATATAATGATGCCTCATCAGACTAAATTAAAGTCTGAGGTTGATGAGATACTTGATCTTGAACTATTGAAGCAGCAAGCTCTGCACGGGGCATTAGATGTAATGTATTTCGCTCAGTATATATTGTCAGTTATGAAAAGGCTTTGTGCTCCAATCAGAGATGAGAAAATTGAGGAACTTTCGAAGGAAACTGAATTAGTTTCACTTTTCCGAGGCATTTTGGATACTCTAAAACTAATGAAACTTGACATGGTGAATTTTACATTATTTTCCATTAGGCCTGAATTAGTTTCTAATCACATGGAATATGAAAGACAGAAATTCACTGACTACATTAAGCTCTCTGGTGATGCTCTTCCTGTAACTGAAACTTGGTTGAAGAAACACATTAGGCCTGGGGTAAACATTAAAGATGTCTTGTATAACGCGTTCTTAGATTTGTTGACATGGGATTCTAATGAGCCCTATCCAGAAACCTTAATACTTGATGAAAAAAGACTGATCAAATTGAAAGAAGAGTACTACTTAATGAAAATGACGGCAACTATCGTATTGTTATCATTTAACTCAATTCCTCCTCAATTACAATCTGATGTATCTTTAAAAGGAGAAATAAAACAGCATATATGCTTATTATTGGAAGGGGTTAAAAATGATCAACAGTTATCACAAGGTATTCAAAATGTTATCGAACAGATAAAAAAAGATATTAACGACAAATTGGCATCGAGGGAAATGAACCATCTTAGCGACGAACAGGTAACCAGCCTTAATCAACAGATACAGCAGGTAACAGATCCGCAGAACAGGGTCAGAGGGTTAGTAAACCTCAGGGTTTTGGATTTCTTAAAATTAACATTAATGCATCCTGGTGGGAAAACAAATTTTCCACCTGCATTAGTTCTGTTTAAAAAGGAATTGGAATCTTTAAGTAATTCGTTTATGAATATCGTCTTGTATAACATTAATATCTGTTTTGAGCATTACAAAAAAATCTTCACCAAAAACGAATCATCGTCTTCTAGCATCAGCAATACTTAGGCATCTTAAAAATTAGTATCTTTTATGGATACAATAAAACTACTAAATATTTAGTAGATTTTTTTATTTTTGGCTTTTATGTTTAATGCAATGTTTAATTTATTAATTTATTTTTGTTATTAATTTGTTAACATTTTTATGGGAAATTGATTTTATATTTAAGATGTAAGCGGTAATTTTAAGTAACATTATTAAGTTCCTTGTATCTTAATTAATATGCTTATTATCTTTCATTTTAGCTATTAAGCAGTCAAATGTGTGATGCATTATTTAGAATAATATTTTAACTTTTATTTATTAATTTTTTTATACGGGTTTGCTCCTCCTATGTTAGGGATTAATGTTCCAACTTGCTACGATGTTAACTATTTGGGACCAGGATTTGAACCTACTAGCATTTTAATTATATTCATTCAATTACCTAATCTTTATATTTCATTTTAGTTTAGACCAAAATTTTAATTTTTTACAAATTATTGTAATTTTTTGGTGAATACCATTTTTTTTTTTTAAATTGTAACAAAGAATGTCTTTTATAAGACAGCTTAATTTTTTTTGCATGAAAAAGAATTTAAAATAATCTTGATTTATTTTTAAATATTCTATGATTAATAATAATATTCAGTTGAATTAATAGCATTATGATGTTTGAACTGGGCATGTAAAGTTGTTGTGCTTGGTAACGATTTTCTAAAAAGTTGATAAGTGGTGAGCCCATTGGTAAAAGTCTGAGGATTGACAGAGATGTGGGAGGATTCTGTTAAGATTGAACTTAAGAATTTGAGTTTTGGCAGTTGTCAATGAATAGTATACAGGAATTAGTGGTATAGGCATCGAATCTTCGGGTTCGTTAGGCCTTTCATTTCTATTATTATAATGAGGTCTAAGCCTACATTGTGTAAGGACACTTAATATCTTAGCCTATAATAAGATACTTAACCTAACCTAAGCTCACATTGGAATGAGGCGCCTTCTAAATAATTTAACCTTAATACTTATAACTTAAATATTCCAGATATCTAATGTATGTATTTTCTTAAATGTATCAATTTATGAATAATTTTATAAAAATATATTCATAAATTAAATTTATTTTGCTGTACAATCTTTTATTTCTATAGATTATGATTAAATAGTTTTTTAAAAATTATATAAATAAAACTGAACAGCTGATTGTTATTCTAGATCAGGGGTCTTCAAACTTTTTGGTCTGTCGGCCACATTAAGATCTCCATTAAGTCTCACAGGCAGCATTGAGACCTCCACCTAAATCATTTGCGATGAGAAAAAAATCTTGTTCTGTAAATGACACTTCAGTTCTGAAATGATCTTTCCAAAAGAAAAAAACATGCAATAAATGTTATAATAACCTCTTATATGAGTAATTTACTAAAATTCTTATTTTTTAAATTTTACCATGTCATCAAAACAAATTTTGCGGGCCGCATTGGAGGTGCTAGCGGGCGGTAGTTTGGAGACTCCTGCTCTATAGGTGGGGAACCATAGCTCTATAGGGGATGCAACAATTTTTTTATATTTTACTGTTGATATTTTTATTTATCGCTAAATACCCATATACATATATTCAACTTGATTCTATTAATTGTATAACTTTCATTACCAAAATAATTAAATACTTGTAGGCCCGTGCAAAAAATTTGCACAGCATATTGTTAAGTGATCAAATGCCAAATTTACGAAGAGAAAATAATGCAATGTATCATAAGATAAAGAAATCAATTCTTACTTTATCGATAAATATAATCGAAAAAGGAAACAAAAATTAATTTAAAACTACATTGATGTTTGGAACCAACATGTTTACAAATTTCAATATACTGTATTTTTGCTAAAAATTGTCCGGTTTCGATGTTTTTTTTTTTACTTTTGTAGGGAATTTAGTAATCTTTTATATAACCATGGGCATAACCTAGAGAAAAGTGTGTAATTTTTTAGTTATTCTCAAATAAAAACTTTCTTTTTCATAACTTGTTTGCCTGAATTTTCGGGGTGATTAAATTATTTTTCCTGCCGGAAGAAGGAAGCCTTCAAAATCGGTGGCTTAATCTTGAGATATAGGGGCCTCAGGTTGACGAAATGAGACATGTATTCAATGACAATACTAAAATTAATGTAAGGTTGTTTCGATGCGAGCCCTATGCCTTGCGTTATCTTGAAAATAGTACGTTTTTGGGCTTAAGAACGCAGGGCCCGATAGTTCCGAAGGAAATATCCGGTTCTTCAAAGCCCAATTTGTCCCATATCGATCCTCAAACTGACCACTGTTCCAGCATTCAAGCCTAGCAAAATGTTTCTATCGACTTTATTTATTTTAGAAAGAAAAACAAAAGTAGAGAATATGATTCGCTAACCCTCCATGAAATTCTGAATCCAACGGTACCCCATTCATGGTATTTGAACATGACAGTAGCTTATATTTGGTAATAAACCGATTTCGAGCCTATGGTAATATATGTGGGGATTAATAATTCTAGCACTAAATTTTTTATTCTTCCCTTCCTGGCCTTTTTAGGCTATAAGGAGGGTTTTCTGGACCAAGGAGTTAGGGTGCGAGATTAATGCCAGAGTTAAAAGAACCCCCGGTTGTTCCAGAGTTTATCAGGTTGCCGGTGCACAAGCGTTAGCTCGATCAGCCACCCTACCCCTTCCTAGCACTAGATTAATAAATATCACACAAAAACATTTGCAGCCTCGGAAACCGCGCAAGCTCATAGGGGCCATAGGTTCCCCATCTGTGCTCCAGATTAAAGAAGCTGTTCAGGATATTTGATCAAATACAACAAGGAAACCATGAAGTAAATATTTATTATATCAAAATGATTAATACATAACTACTAAATATTGTTGATGAATTTAAATTAATGTTAAATTGAAATATTACCTGAGTAGCATATTACATCATGTTTCAATATACAGTTTGACTCTCATCAATCCGGCATGTCCAGTAGTCTAAGATTGAGCTCTCAAGTACATTTTTTTTTTTTTTTTTTATTTATACATGATATTTACAACTGTATTAAAAAATTAAATACATTAAGTAAATTTGATAACAGAAAATAAAAACATGAAATGACTTGTTGAGAAACTACCCACTGGTAGCACTCTATCTCAAGTACATAAAATGTTTATATTGTTGCATGTTTGAAATGTATAGTGTTTCTCATACTATCCCGGCCTCTAATCGTCTGGTATACATATTGTTTTTTATTACTTTTATCATTTTTTTTTTTCAGTGTTAAAAGTTTTAATTATGTCTAAACCTGTTAAAAGTGAAAAAAAAAGAAAACGGAAAAATTATCATTAAGCTGAACTGGAGTGAAAAGTTTAATGATTTAACTGTTTTATTGGATTGGACATGCCACAATTGAAGTATATGATGTAAATGTTAGCCCTCTGTAATTTTGTGATATATATTTTTGTAAGCTACAAAATTGATTATATGTAAAATCCTTTCTATTTTGTTTTAAATATAATATGTACATGTATACGTTTATCATAATTAAATATATACATACATAATGAATGTCTTATTTTAGTTGTAAGTTTTTATTTATCCCTCTGTAATCCAACATATAACCTTATTTGTGTTGGATTCTAAAGACTCTATTGTATTTCATTGACTAGTTCCTACCACATAATTGTGATTTTCATGCATTAAAAATTGACTTGCCATCTTGGTTTTTAATTAGTTTTTAAATTATTAAAAGATTATAGTATAACTCAGTATTTAAGTACGAAACGTGCAAGCACTCGTGAAAATAATCCAAAGAATTGAAGGAGACTCTGAATTTCAAATACTTTGGTTTCTAGATCATTGATAAAAAATACTAAATGGCCCGTGCGAATAATTAGCATAGAATATTGTTCAGTGATTAAATGACAAAATAATAAGGAAATTAAATAATTCAACACATCATAAGATTAATGAATCATTTTCTATTTTTTTGGTAATTGTAATGGACCCTGGAAAAGAAAATTATAATATATCATTCAGGTTTTAAACCAAAATGTTGTAGCTCAGCTAATAATGGTCCGAATTTGATGATTGTTTGGTGATTTAATAATATTTTATAATAATCATACGATCAACAAATGATTTTTCTTTCAGTTTTGGGCTATGTGTGACTATTTCATTTTTCTCACCGAAGGAGGTATTCGAAATGAAGGTTCAATCATTGAATTTGATGGAAAATTGAGGAAGATATAATATACCGACAAAAAAACACTGTTGATAAATAATATCTAAATATATTCATTAAAAGATAAGCTAATGAAATAAAAGTTGCTGGAAAACTTGTGAATTTTTCAGCTGATAAATTATAAAATGAAGTGTTTTGCGATTTAGCCTGGGACTGTGTTATTTGAAGTGATACTGTCATATAGCAAAAATAAGAGATGATAGATTAACTTGTGAGATGACTTCTTTTAAAAATATATAGAGAAAAGAATAGTTAGAGAGGTCGAGAGGAATGTATTAGAAGAAACATGGATGCAAATCTACTTGGGATGTGCCTTACATTCACTTTTGTTATTTGCTGAATAGTATCAATATGGAAGTTAACAAAAACTATGTTGAATGTTGTACGAACAAAAACTATGTTGAATGTTGTACGTATTCACTTGTTATAACCTATTGTGGATTGTGAGTAAAAGAAAAAAGAAAGCCTTTGAAAGAATGAGTTGTATTATTCTATTTTAGGATACAGTTTAGTGGTTCTTATAATGCCCGCAAGAAACAAAATAAGTTTTAATTATGCATTGAACAGATCTTAACAGATTGTTAACATTTCTGTAATCCAGATCTTTGGAGCCATTTAAATCCTGCAGATTTATGGAGAACCTGAAAACATTATAGTACATCTTTTTTAAAAAAATATGAGAGAAAAATAGAAAGGATGAATTTAGCTAAAATTTAATTTTATATTCAAATGAAAAGAAAACTATAGATTTGTAATAAACTTGGTATCATTAACTTTTTTGGATAGTTAATAACAGACAGTTGATGGTACTAATTTTAATATCTGTATCTAAACTAA